GTCTTCTCTATTCAGAGGGGCCCCCTGCCTGTCTTTGCCTAGGGCCCCACATTTCCTAAATCCGCCCCTGGCTATATCTATGCAACTACTTTTTGCTGTATATTGTTTTTTTCACAGTATATAATGCATAAAGTGTACCTGAGTGGACAGATAAATATTTCGTTATATAATAAAGATAGAATTTTTTTTTTTTTTACATTCCTAAGGATGCATAGAAACACTTAGTAAAATAATCCTGACTGAGTTTATTCTAATTAATGCATCAACGGGATAGAAAGTGCAAACATACCTGTAATGGCCGTATTGTAAGTATATTCTTATATCTTATCGATGAGGGTTTTGTGTTTTATTTTGCAGGTATATTGATCTTCATAAACTGTGCTTATGTGAAGTGGGGGACTCTGGTCCAGGACATCTTCACGTATGCAAAACTCATGGCTCTATTCCTCATCATCATTGTTGGAATCCTGAAAATGGCAGCAGGTGAGTAAAAAGGAAGCATCGGTGGAAGGAAACGTCCTTTGCTCTAATATTTGTCTTCTTTTTGTGTAGGAGACATAAATAGTTTTGAGAGTCCATTCGAAGGGTCATCGACGGAGCCTGGAGCCATAGCTCTGGCTCTCTACTCCGCTCTGTTCTCCTACTCAGGCTGGGATACGCTCAACTTCGTCACAGAGGAAATTAAGAACCCTGAGAGGTAAATATTTATTTATTTATCTTTATTATATTGTATAGTTGGATGTGTGTATATATATATTATATAAAACTGTAACTGGAGCGTGTAATAAAAGCAATTTCCTTCTGGGATTATTAAAGTATTTCTGATTCTGATTCTGAAATTGAGCGTGAACAGGATTAAATGAGGTGTTTATCTTAATTTTCCTTATTTTTTCTCTGTTTTTTTTTATCATTATACTGATAACTCTCTGTTAAAAAAGTTTGAAGTGATTAGAAAATATTTGCTGAAACATATTTAATTATTGGAGCTGTGCAAATCCTCCAGGTAACGGATTTAACAGGCTGCCATTGAACACAGGAGCAGCAGAA